GTGTGTATTACCCCCCCCCCCCCCGTGGGTCAGCTTGGACAAGGTGATTGTCTCTTTAAATCCCTTCTCCAAGCCAGCCCAGCTGGCATGGGTGTGTGTGTGGAGAACACATTTGAAGTTAAAGTTGATTTTTCCCCCTACTCTTCCTTCACCCTCCCTCTGTCCCCATTTTAACACTCCCCCCCATCTATCTGCTTTCTTTCCACCTCTTTCTTTCCACCTTTCTCTCTCTCTCTCCCCCTTCCTCCCCCTCCCCATCTATTTACTTTCTTTGTTTCTCTCTCTCTTACCTCTTTCTATCCACCTTTCTCTCTCTTTCTTCCTTTCCTTTCTTTCTCTCTTTCTCTCTCCCTCCCTTCCTCTCCCTCCCCATCTATTTACTTTCTTTGTTTTTCTCTCTTTTCTCTCTTTCCTTCCATCTCTTTCATTCTTTCCACCTCTCTCTCTCTTAGACAAATAAATATCATTGGAGAAATAAATATCATTATCAATATCTGTTTTTACCCCCTTTTGTTTTTATTTTTGGCAGTCTCATTTAATGTTAATAAAAAGCAAATTTGCATATTTTCCAATAAAAACGTGTGTGTAATATTTGTTCATGTCTTGTGGCTCTCAAACATCTGAAATTAATTCTATGTGGCTCTTACATGAAGCAACTTTGGCCACCCCTGCCATAGGGTCTACCCTCCAAAGCAGGCATTTTCTCCAGGGGAACTGATCTCTGTCATCTGGAGATCAATTGTAACAGCGGGAGATCTCCAGGTCCCACCCAAAGATTGGCAACTCTAGAAAAAAGTCAGCCGCACAGCAGAGCGTTGAAGAGAATGTTTTGACGGCCGCTGGCCCAACTCAGTAGCCAGCAGCCATGGTGGAGCCAAGCAGGAGAGACAGCTGTTTTTGCAGTTTATTCTAACAGGAAAGTGGCCAAGCTGGCAGTGGGCGGGGGAGAGGAGTGGACCTAGCACCCAGCAAATGGCATGCAAGTATTCTTGAGTGGCGGTTGATGGGCCAATGGCTGATGGAGCGCACTGCACAGCCAATGAGAGATCTGGAAATGGGAATTACGTAAGGGAATTATATATACTAGGAGCAGTGTGTGGAGTAGGGACAATACAACGAATGCTAGAAAGACAGAAGAAGAAGAAGAAGAGAAGAGATTGGATTTATACCCCGCCCTTCACTACCCAAGGGAGTCTCAGAGCGGCTTACAAACTCCTTTCTCTTCCCCTCCCCACAACAGACACCCTGTGAGGTAGGTGGGGTTGAGAGAGCTCTGACAGAAACTGCTCTTTTTCAAGGACAGCGGTGCCAGAACCATGGCTTGCCCATGGTCACACCAGCAGCTGAAAGTGGAGGAGTGGGGAATCAAATCCGGTTCTCCCAGATTAGAGTCCGCGCACTTAACCACTACACCAAACCATTACACCAAACAGGAGACTTCCCCCCCATCCCACGCTTTCTCTCCCCTCCCCAGACCCTGGGGTCAAGGGAATGCCCCACCACTGGCTACCGGCCCGGGCGGTTGGCGGCGGCCTGTGGGTCGCCTCCACCACCCTCTGCCCTGGCAGCACACCGGGCCCCGTCCGGTCACAGGACAGGTAGCTACCTGCAGTCAGCTAGGGACGACGACAACCGCCACGGTGGTGGCAGGAATGGCCTCGGCCTCCTAAGACTCCAGCCGCTGGAGCGTCCATCCAGTCTGGCAGCTCCCTACATACTGAGTGCGAGAGGCTGTCCGCCGGCTCTGTGGATGGGACTGAGCCAACGCAGCAAGGCAACTCAGCCAGTGGCCAGGGACCAGTTTCTGAGTGGCAGTTCAGGCAGCCAACTGATTTTGGTGCTCATCGAATCTTGCCACCCCAAAACAGGATTATAATATAGGAGAGATGATTCACAACATGTCCTCCATCATACAGATCCACATGCCTAGTTTTCCACTGGGTCTCTCTTCTATCCTTTGCTGCATTCTCCCCAGATTATGGGATCTGATTGACACAGCTCTGTTTCTACACTTGAGCATTATTGGTTCTTTGTGGAAGAGCCCTTTGTAGCCTAGCAATAACGGGAAAGCCTCCTAAAGTGGTTGGGGAATCCTTCCTGCAGTTATGTGATGATAGAACTATACTCATTTCTTCCCCTATCCTGAATGATCTAAATATAATTTCTAGGTTGTAAGGCAATAGGTATCTCATGTTAATGTTTCAAAATCTCTTCTGAAAGATGTGCTACCATATCTCACTAACTATATATGTATAACCAGGGGTCATTTCCTAAAAAAAGAGGTGCAGGAGCTCATTTGCATAACTCATTTGCATATGCCACACCCCCTGACAAAGAGCAGGCATGTTTAAAATTAGTTAAGGCATATGCAAATGAGTTTAAATCCCTCCTCTTCCCTGAGTCTCTCCACAAAAGCGGAGAGGCTCAGGGGGAGAGGCAGACATGCCTGCATGGGCGCTCCGGCAGGAAATGATCTCTTTGTATAACATGGAAAAGTTGCACCTCCTTTTTTTCTTATTAGCACCTAAATGCCCAGTTGTAGCACATATTTTTTTAACAAAGCCCTCTTTTGCAGCTAGCTTAAATTTTGGGGAAATTTTGTTTTAGCCTAAAACAGTGCATGAAATGCTCCTCTGAGATGAGACAATACAGTTGAATGCCCTCCCTGTTGATTGGTAAAACTGTTCTCAAAGTACAGAGGGAGGGGGGGAGAGAGAGATCATTCCAAGTAGACTCATGGGAAATTTACAAGTGACTTTCTTTGGGCTGTTAATTAATGTTGTGACTTTTCTATTATGCTTTGTATGTTTGGTGGTCAAAATACAAAGGGGAAGTGAAGAAAGACAAGTGAAATAGATTCTTGGGATAAAGTTTCAGCATTGGTGTATTGAGGCCTCTGACATTTACTGAGGAAGAACTGGTTAATCACTTCCACAGCCAGCTGACATTTCAGTGCACAAAAGACAAGCTACCTTTTTCTGTTAAATAACAGGATTACTTCATGTCCTGACACCAGACTGCAGAAACAGAGGAACTTAAAAAAAACCAAAAAAAACCCTGTGTGCTTTTTGGCAGATGTTGCTATGAGGAAAGAAGTCAGAAATGACTGATGTGGAGCCTGTGGTCACAGATTTTGCAGCATCGGGAAGAGCAGGCCGCCGAAATGCCTTACCAGACATCCTGGGTTCTTCTGCTGCGGGAGCTGGCACATCTGAACTGCCACTTAAATTAGCTGAACTGTCCATGTCAGAAGGTAATGCCTTCCCATTCTTGAGAAGCAGGGAGTTACCCTTCTTGATTGCTGAGATTTTATTCCTTCTTAGTGACTGTGCCACTGATATGAAGCCTGCGAGCCAATTTATGATTATGTGGAATGGCTGCCTAATTCATATTTCTTTGTTATTTATCATCAAGATTTTTACCCCACCTTTCTGCCCCCAGGGGACTACCAAGGTGGCTAATAAAACATACAAATGAAAATATCTTTAAAGTCATTAAAACCAACACACAAATGCATCATGAAAACAAGTTAAAACCAAAGCTTGAAGTAAGTACAAAAGATAAAAACAGCTTTAAACACTGAGGAGGAAGGAGGGATCATATATCTACAGTCCATATATCTCCAAAAAGGTATTGTATCATTTACAGTGCCATCCTAAGAAGACTTCATTGGACTTCGAAGTGGTGACTCTGTTTAGATTTGCACTGTTACACATTTAATTATTTACTTAAGATGCATTTCTCCTCCACAAGCAGTCTCAAAGCAGCTAACACAAGGTTAAAGCCATAGCAATTATTTAAAAATCTAAATAATTGAAAACTACCTTGTTTCCCCGAAAATAAGACCTACCCAAAAAATAAGCCCTAGCAGGATTTCTATGCATTTGTGGTATAAGCCCTAGTGTGTCTTCTTGAGAAAAAAGAAATATAAGACAGTGTCTTATTTTCGGGGAAACACGGTAGAACACAAACGTTTTACAGTCATGCAGTCTGTCATGATGCTCCACATAAAATTATACATCAATTAAAAAGACCTCTTGAAAAGTTTATCCTTACATAATTTCCTGAATGTTAACGAAGTGAGTGCCTTTCTGGCTAAGTCAGGGAGGCTTTCCCACCAATGTGGGCACTGCCACAGAGGGGCCAAGGAAGTCCACACCAGCCTACATGAAGGCACAGTAAGTAGTGTTTGGTCAGAGGAATACAACTCCTGCACTGGAACATAACCGAGAGAGGTGGCCCTGCAGGGAAACTAACATTATCTGAACTTTATTATGTGTCTTCCCAGATTATCTGAATTCTGTAGTTATATACCCATACTGTTGATCTGAATATTATGACCCAGCTATTCCATGCACATCTAATATGTTCTTTCTCATATGCACATCTCTTCAGATGAAGGAGCTGAAGGTGGAGAACCGTCATGCTCTGACACTGCAATGGAAAATCAAGAAGCAGAAGGAAAAAGCATGGATTCCTGATGTCTAAGGATGCCTTGGCTTGTGATGATCACCATCTGATTTTGTTTTCAATCTGTACTGGACTCTGAATGACTCAATATTGTTAGCTGGGTGATAATAGAAGCTGCTTAAGGGGTTTATGATGTTACCCAATCCATCACATAGCAACGTACCTGTGTGCAAATTGCTGCCCATGACAATCTGGAGAATATCTGTTAAGGTTTTAGAATTGTTTTCTGTCCATCATATTCTTTTTGATGGTGTAAATAAATAAGCACAACCCAACAAAAATACCTACTTGGACCTTTACAGACGATAGCTAAAAATGGAATTTAAAACATTATTAAACCCAATCCAGAGCCAATATCCAAAATGCATGTACACTGTGCTGCAGCTGAATAGTGTATTCATAAACCATGGGAGAAATCAACTCCAGTCTTAAAGAGGCACCCTAGAATGAAGTAAAGATTTTTAGAAGGGCAAACGGTTACGGAATGGTAGGACACTGTCTGGTATTGTTCACCACTTGCTTGTAGAGTTTCATGGGAACTCCTCTGCTTCAGTGGCACAGTGGCCAGGAGAATGCCAATCAGTAAACCTCCCAGTACTCCAGAATAGGATGCAATGCGCTGGATCATAGCGGTCCACTCTGCTGTGGCTGGACGCTTACCTCTTGAACTTTCTGCTAACACCACAGACTCTTCCACCAGTGGAGGAGACTCTTGCACTAGCGGGCCGTTCTTTGCACCAGCGGAATGTGCCAGCAGAGAAGACTTTTAGGATCGAGCCCAACATTTGAAGATACTGGAAGGATGTCATAGGCAGAATCTTGTGGGTTTCCACGACTCTCATGTTAACCACATTCCACACGGAAATCACAATGGTGACAGATGTGCTTGCTGAGGGGGGAATCTCTTCCTAGCAAGAGAATTTTGCACATTGTGAGCTGTTAAAATGTGATGTCCCGAAACAGGAGAAAGACCTCTGGATTCTCCATAGCAACTGCACCTTTATTATGCTATTGGCTGGAAAGGCCCTTCTTATTGATTGATTGTTTTTTTTAAAAAAATAACCTCTTTATCTATCCCCCTCCCCAGACCTCAAAGGTTGTTCCCACAGAATCTGGAGCACACTGTATTTGTGCCAGGCCAGGCTGTTTGATCTTTAAAGGAAATGGAATGTCATCTGTCTATAACCTCATGAAGACCTTCTAAGGCTTGAACTCTCACTAGAGAGGCACAAGGGCACAGAGAAAAATGAAAAATGCTCTTTCCTCATCCTTTCAAAATATCAGGATGCACTGAGATCACATAGGAGTATGGAATCCCTTTGACTGGACTGCCCCTCTCTCATATTTGACCTCTTCTGGGCCAAACTGTATGTTATATAGGACAGCCATGATTAATCTCCCAACTTTTGTTTTTTTACTGAGTTGAAACAGGATGGAGGGAGAAGAGATGCAGTAGAGGAAGCCAGAATTTAGCCGCCCCCTTGTGCTGTTTTATTGATGAAAATGCCCCCCAAATGCTGTTTACACCATAAAGGGGGTTATTTTCCCCCCTTGGGGTTAAAAAAAAAAAAAGCCAGAGGGTATTTTGCTAGAAAAAATGGTAAAGGAGGAAGATTTAGACATATCATCTTCTCCTCCCTCCAAACACCAATGCTTTTGTGTAATTCAGCCCTAAGTGATCTTGGCGTTTTGTTTGTCCATAAGTTTTTAACATACTCTTGTGGCATCTGTAAATTATTTTAAATTGGGTTTATTTTGGCATGAAAAATGAAAATCTGTTATCATCTCTTTTGCTCAGTTGTGTCTTTCATCACTCATCTCTTCACAAGGCCCCAGAACACAAGCTTTTCATCTGAGTTAGGAATGTGGAATTACTGATTCATGACTGGTTCTGTTACAATCATTGTAATGAAATCATTTCCTTCGTTGTAGATTTTGCCTGTACCAAAGGATTGATCCGTGTTTTATAATAAAGGTTGTATTATTTAAAGTACACTGCACGTATTATTTTCACCATCTGCTTTATACAGTCATTCCATGAGGCAACCGTACCAGGAACAAAATATATTGGATGGGGCACAATGACTATTTTTACCAGTGGTTTTACTCCCAGCTATAAAGCTGGTAAATAGGACAGGCTGTACCAGGGGAGGCCACTAGATGGCGTGTGTGAGCAGTATATGCAGCTGGTGCATCGTGCATCGTATCCTTCTCTGCCCAGTGCTGATCAAAAGGCAAGTTCAGCCACTGCTAGCACAAACCTACTTACTGGTTCTGTAGCAATTATCTGTTATAATGAGTGGGCTTGAAAATGAAGACAGGGAAGCAGAATTTTCCTTATGACAGCCCTGGTCTGTTCCCCAGCTGCACATTGCCTCTCCAGATATCAAGTTTGCACCATGCAACCCCAGCCTACCTCCAGCTCTATCCTGTGGGAAGGGGCCTTTCTTTCTTCTCTGTCACTGCCCAGCAATGCTTGAGGAATGGATTCTGCCCCCAACATGCACCACCACTGGGGATGGAAACTATGTGCCCGTGTGCCATTAGAACTGCTGTGGTCAAACTGTGTATCCGTTCAGTTTGCCTGGCTGCCCCTGTTAACATCCTTTCCAAAATCTACTGCAAACAACAGGTCACATTTCACACTAAGAAATTCAAGCCAAACCCTTGCCAGCTCATAGCAGTCATTGGACAAAAACTGGAATCATCATTTCCTTGTCTCCACGGTATGCTTGTGTCATATCAACTCAGTTAATTGAAGGAGGGGGGAATTGAGACCATATATTGCTCATTACAGCCACTAGGTGGCACTCTGCACCCATTTGAAGTGAATTATTCTGAGCCTCAAGGCCTGGCAGACTGTAGAGCTCTTGCTCTTGAAAGGAATGGGGCTGAATTCAACAGCTGAACTTTGAGACTCTGAATCTGCACTGGAGCTACATGTGTGAACACTCTATAGCTGCTACATTCCCTCTCTGCACCACACAGAGGCTCATACAAACATAACAATACTGTATGTTTACTGACATATGGTAAGACACTTCCCAGTTTTGCATTGTGTATCAGCAAGGAGACTGAAGGTGCTTGGTAGTGAATCTCTGCCTTCTGAAACCTGAAAAGTCAGTTTAAACTCAACAAGCTATACTGGAGTGTTTAGGAGACACTGAAACCAAAACCTCTCATCTGAAAGATTCTAAGACTCTGAAAAGTTTAAAACTCTCAGTTGCTCGAAACATATGAACTGTAGTTTACAAACATATTACATTACCTCAGAGTTACTGATTTACCTCAGACATTTTACCCCTTATTTCATCTGACCTTTTCCCCTCTATGGTGAATAAAATATTTTGTTTATTTTTGAATGTTATAAAACCTTGTGTGCCATTTCATAAGTTAAGAGGATGAGGTTGTCATAACAGCATAAACATGTTCTAAATAAATAAAGGTTTCATAGCACAGCCACTGCATGGTGTCACATTTAAGACTGAAGAACTGAGAATAAATGTTAACCCTAAACCTCCTTTTGAAGTATGTTGACTATAAGATATAACATACCAATACAGGGAAATGTTTGTCATAGTTCACTGACTATACATTATATCAATTGCTTGCTTTTGAGACAGATTGAACCTCAAAGCGGCTCTCTCTATATAAATTAAAGCTAGTGGCTGTGATGCACTATTCCGTTTCTTCTGCTCAATAAAAGAAGTGTCATCAAACATTGTGGCATCTGTTGGGGCCAGCATTAACAGTTAGGTGAGAATGTTCTTTGGTGAAGTTGGTGGTGTGGGGGACTGCCCCCTATGTTAGTCCTCTACTGCCATCTGTGCCTTTCAGCTGTTGGTAGTATGTCTCTACTAGTAGCCTGGCCTTATGGTGACCCTGCCCTATGACAAAGGTTTTCCTCCTACAAATGTGTCTCAGTGAAAATAAACTGGGCAGCACAGATGACCTACCTTGGGAGAGATCCTGTAGCTCTTAAAAACTGGCCCAGCACTGAGAAACTGCTAGTGCCATCCTATGCAGTCTTACTCCAGTCTATGTGCATTGAAACCAATGAGTTCAGAGTGGACTAATTCTGCAAAGGATTGCACTCTCAGTTGCCAGCGAAAGAGAAGACCGTGGGAGTTTTCTGTCAATGAATGAGTTTCATCTCACTCCATTAAGGATTTCTTCTGATATAACCAAACATTTCAGAGACAGAATAGGCTTGGGGAAAAGGGGAATGCTTGTTCTACTGAAAATATTATTTTATCGAGACCTTTTGGGTCAGTAGGGATTCTTTTGGTTAGGGCTTCTGGCTGTAAAGTAATTTCTGTTCTGCATCATGGAAACATCTCAAGGTTTTAAATCTTTTCCCACTTTAACCTTCAATATCCAAGCTATTGTAATAGTTGCTGGGTATACAGCATGCCAGCTCTCAAATTGCCACAAAATGCATGTGTCATTCAAAGATATTACGCGAAAGGGAAAATCTCCCTAAAGACACTTTCTCATATCTGATGCATTTCTTCTTCCCTGACCTTTGCAGTGATGTGTAGAGAAATTGGTTCTAACATTTTATCCCCTATATTTTTCTTTTTAAAAGTATGCTTCGTTGTCTAACTGATCCATAGGTCCAATTCTATCAGAGTTTGTTTGACAGATGAATTCTGATGTGGCACAGAATACCCCGAGTTATGCATAGCCCTTCTAATCGCTCAAGAGTAAAGGATTACTGTGGCATAGGCTTCCTTCGACTAGAGCCCACTTCATCAGGTATATACTCAAATGACAGACATGAACATGTTTATTTGTTTATTGCCATCAAGTCGCTCCCAGTTTATGGCAACCCTGTAGGGTTTCCAAGGCAAGAGATATTCAGAGGTTTGTGATTGCCTGCCCTCCGCATAGCAACCCTGTTATTCCTTGGAGGTCTCCCATCCAAATACTCTCCAGGGCTGACCCTGCTTAGCTTCTAAGGTCTGACAAGACTGAGCTAGCCGGGGCTGCCCAGGTCAAGGCAAACATGTTTATAGAGGGGAAAATGTGAACAGTGAGGCTGCAATCTCAAAAGGTGAACAAAGTCTAGAAAGCTGATTGCCACAATAAATCTGTTAGCCAATAGGGCACCACAAATCTTCTTTATGGTTTTCTGCCACAGATGAAGTGGCTGCCCTGCTGGATCTGATTCTAGTGATTTGGTGAAGGGTGGAGGAGTGTTAATTGTGCAGTTAGTTGCACAATTAATAGAGTTGCTGTTTCTTCTGGCTTTGCCATCTCATTGAATAATCCCAGCAACAGATATCCAATGAGGACAAAATAACTGTCACCTCTGTTTACAATTGTAAGGACAGTATGTAAATGGATTAAGATAGCCAGTAAGACCCACATTCGCTGTGATGATATGTTGGCATAACTCAAAGATATGCTAGTTTAACTGGAGATATGCCAACAGTACTCTGGTGT